AATGAGTTATAAATGTAGATTCAAGCACCCAGTTGTATAGCTGTGGTGTTACGACTTTTGGCTTGTTATATCAGAGGTCGCCACATCAAGTCGCTTGCATGATTTTTTTTTTTTTTTTTTTTTTTTTTTTTTTGAGGGGGTGCGGGGTACAGTTTCCTTTTTCTATGACATATTGTCCCACAAGGCGCCCCGGTGGTCCAATGGTTAGCACGTCGACCTCACAGTGCAGAGGTACCGGGTTCGATCCCACCTCCGGCCTCCTTGTGTATAGTTTGCATGTTCTCCCCGGGCCCGCGTGGGTTTTCTCCGGGTACTCCGGTTTCCTCCCACATTCCAAAAACATGCATGGCAGGCTGACTGAACACTCCAAATTGTCCCGAGGTGTGAGTGTGAGCGCGGATGATTGTTCGTCTCTGTGTGCCCTGCTATTGGCTGGCAACTGGTTCAGGGTGTCCCCCGCCTACTGCCCGAAGACAGCTGGGATAGGCTCCAGCACCCCCCTCGCAACCCTTGTGAGTATAAGCGGATTGGAAAATGGATGGATGGATTGTCCCACAAAACATTTGACAACTGTGAACCATTGGTTGGAACTTGTGTATATTTGTCAGTGTGTCCACACTAAAGTGTATTTTTTTTTCTAACAAATTCATGTTGCAAAAATTGGTGCACACCACTGAAAGTCCAGCAGAACTTAATTTTAGATTTTTGAAAATGTAGTTCACAAAAATTCATGACAAGTCTAATCATCGTCATAATTTTCTAAAATGCATTGGGGTATTTTTTTGTTTGTTTGTTTGTTGAGTAATGTCTAAAAAGATTGGTTTTCAAAGGGACTGTAATTCTAATCTCCAAATGAGTTGGAATTGTTCATGTGTTACAAAGCCAGGAAACTTCAGACAAACATGACCCTAATTCAGTGTCCAGATGGCAGACAGCATGCAGTTGAGTACACTCGCAGAGTGAACATGCTTTGTGTGATTACATTCAACCATTTTGTTTCATAATCCTCCAGTAGATCATTGTGACACATACATTGTGCTGCGGTCCAGTCATGTGCTGGAAGCTAACTAACCACCATTATTTAACCATAATCACAATATCTCCCCGTGGATTTGTACGAAAGAAGAATGGTTTGAGATTTGACTTTCACATTTATTTCTCACTCAATATACAACTTTGGAAACTTATAATAAACTCGAATAGTGAAGATTAGCTTTTGGCAAACGATTCCACTCAGTCGTTCACAAGTGCTGGAGTTCATTGGACGAGGCACCGTATCATTCATTAGGACTCGAGCTTTGGGACTGAAAGGTTCAGCTTGATGTTGGAGAGATGTTTGTCTGCTTCTCAACTACTGTTGAGGTTGCCCTCCAGGAAGGCATCAAACTCACTCAGATCAGCTCAGGGGCTCAGCCCCGTTCATGCACCCTATGACTCTGACATCTTTCCATGAAAACGGGCATGAGAGGGCCTTGAGAACCTCAAAATGTGGCCAGCGTAAAAATAATTTCGGGTTGAAATGTATACTATACTTTATTGTACTACCCAAATTTTCATGTAGCTGTCACTCGCAACACTCTTGGCTCACTGGCCTTATTGTTACTCTTGCGTTGGCATCATTTCTTAGCCAACAGTGTCAACTTTTGTCACATCAACAAAATACTATGCCCACATTAACATTCTGTTACCAAAAAAATTTAAATAAAAATCGTACAACAATGATGCTCTCCCTTGGTAGGATTCTCCTTTTATTAAAAGTGAGTGCAAGGTCTGGCTCAATTCCTGGGCTAAAAGCCACCACATGTGGCAGCTTGTCTTTTTTTTTTTTTTTTTCTGTGTCGCAAAAGTTGGAGAAGTCACAGAGAGGCAAAACAGCTTTGTATTTTTCATTCTTCTTGTCTTACGTGTTCAATTGGTGTTAGTGATGTTTTCTTGTTTTTCATTGCTCGAGTCAGAGCTGTGATGACTTAGACGTAGTCGCCGTTTGAAGTTTGAGGAGAGACACTGTTATGACGTCCGTCTCGAAGGTCAAGTTGAGCCACAAGCGTGATAACGTGCGCGGAGAGGAGGGAGGGGCGACGGGGTTAAAGGAGAGAAAAGTGTTGAAATAACAAAACAGTCCTCACATATGGTGCTGAGGCACAGCATAGACTTCCAGTAAGTGCACTACCAAACAATTTGGACCGTAATTGAGTTCAGTCCAGTCCTTCTCAACGACTCACTAAGACTGAAACTAATACTAAGAATGTAAAGCAGGCTTTTAAGTTGACTGCAACTTAAAAGGTTTCCCTTTCATACCAGGCAGCTTACAAAGCGGCTCAAACTTGAAGGTACTTTATTCTAATGCGCGTGCTGCCTTAGGGGATTATATGGTAGTTCTCCACCCCGAGGCTTAACCATAACTTCCACCACCTGGTAGTTTACACCACTTTGCCACTTTCCCTGTGATCAAGCCCACAGGGAAGGTGATCCTAGAAATTATGTCACTTCCACTCACCCAAAAGGAAGTCGAGACAGTCTCAAATAAAGTGAATTCAGGCTTTGATTAAGAATGTTATTGTAAAAAAATCTGCCTTCAAACACTGAGCAGCGATTGCAGTGGAGGGAAACATAGAAGGTCTTGACCAGGGCTTCCCATATGCTCTCTGACCCGCGGAAAAAAAATGCCTAAAAGCTCAGAACATTAAAGTAATGTGTAAATCTTTAAAACTAGTTCAAAACCACTCAAGGTTTTGTGTATATTGAAGCCAGTCACTATGTGTTTTCCTTTTTGTTTTCTGTCAGTCCCTACCACTTTTTACCTTTCTGGCATTGTGCCTCTTGTTCTGTGACTGAGGCAAGTGCAAGTTGTGTTGGCGGCAACACTAACGGAGCGTTCACTCGGGTGGAATGTCAGCCTCGTAGCCTCCAGAGGTGGAGAGGCTTTTGGATCTAGCTTGTGTATTTTTTGATTTGGCTCCTGTGTTGTGACTATCACTTCATGACAACACCGCATTATTTGACACAAGCTCTCATCATGTCACGCGCAGAATAAAAATGTGGGCAGTCACTGAATGACCCTCTGATAGCACACGTGCGCTGTGCAGGAATGACCTGGTCAGTAGTGATAAACTACAGTCATGCAGTATGTGCTTCGCTATGCTGCAAATCAAGCAAAATGTCGCTTTCTGGTTAAAATCACATAATTCCGTTGTCTGAAATGAAACATTTTATCAATACGAGTTTGTCAAAGAGAGCCAGCCGAAATCACGTGTACAGTCAATTTTTTAAAACTGTGTTTCGTGTTTTTGTGCATGCAAATACTTATGTTTTGTTTTCTACTTTCTCTTTTTCATAATTTTTGCTGCTGTAAATTGCGAGTTTCTCCATTGTGAGACAAATAAGGGTTTTCTTCTTCTTCTTTTGCAGTGGTTCTGAACTTTGTTCGAGGTACTGAATGAAGGGTTCGGTGAATGTGCATATAAAGTGGTTGGGCACTTTATATGCACATTCACCGAACCCTTCATTCGTGAAAAATAAAGATATATGTGTATATATATATAGATAGATAGATAGATAGATAGATAGATAGATATCTATGTATATATAGATGTATATCTATATATAGAGATAGATATAAATATATATATACTGGTATATATTTTTTTGTTTTGTTTTGTTTACAAATTCAAGACATGAAAAATTGATTTATTAAAAACAGAAAAAAGTAAATACAATTAGTATAAGTCAAAATGGCGCCGCGAGAGTGGCTGCCTTTCCAGCAGCTCCTATATTTTGTTGTTCTACTTCTTCCTTTCATAACTTTGCTGCTGTGAATTGGGAATTTCTCCATTGCGAGACTAATAAAGGTTTTCTTATCTTATCTTATCTTATCTTATCTTATAAACTATACGTTTTATAACTGTGCACAAAATGAACCAGCCAGTGATGGCTAAGTGAGCATGTCATAATTGACCTGTTGAGTCGGGTATGTTTTAACCTCCATGGCAGAGGCTCTGTCGAACCCCTGAGACTGATTCACCCAACCACTATGGGTCGATCAAACCCAGGTTAAGAACCACTGGTCTGTTGCATTCATAAATGCGATACAGAGAGAAAATGTCATTGGAATTGCAATTTCAATAGATGAGACTTGCTGAGGTGATATTGAAAAGGAGTGCCTATGTTATAGTAACGTGATCGAACAAAGTGTGTTTTCACTCAATATTTTCCTGTAAACCACTTTTTGATAGTGCCTGTTAAAATGCATGGCTTTGATCAGACAGCGACAGAAGCAGCACAGTTCGTGTCCTCACCAACCACTTGGGTACATCTTTACAATCGCGTTGTATTAAAAAAGATTCCTTCGCAAAGGGAATCGTCCCGTTTTGACAGGCAACTATGCATTTCCAGCTGTAGTCTAGAACATCACTGTATCATAGAAAGAGGTTTTGATGGACTCGCTGTTAAGTCTGCAAACACAGTTTTGAGTTGACACCCTCATCAATATTGCTGTATTGTGACCCACGGTTCAAGGAATTGTATCGAAGACAGTTGGAAAATGTTATCCAATGTCAATTTGCTCACCATCTGTTTATTGTCCTCCCGCCGCCGTGTGTTTACAGTAACGCACACATGCGGGTGTGCTCCAGCTTGAAGTGACGGACATGAAGCTGAAATGGTTGAGGGCCAAACTGTCTGTCTCCTGTTTCGACGTGTGCAGAACAGACTCGTCCGCATCCATCACGCATGCAGCCACAATTAGCTTCCACATCAGCTGTTTTCCACCACTCGGTTTATTGTGTGTGCTTCCTTCTATTTTTGTACAGCAGCAGGCCTGTTCTGCACCAGTAAACAGGAACTTTGTGTTTGTCCCCCTACCAAATTCTTTTAAACAAAGAATCCTGTTGTTTATGTGCCTTTTGCTTAGCAATAAATAAAGAGCTAGGCGACTACCCTCTGATGTTAAGTGTGCCTCTGTCTTTGTTTTCATGTGTTTTCATCTCTGTTCCATGCTGCAGCTGCTCCACATCTGCATCGAAGGCTGGGGTAACTGGCGCTGGTCTGAGGCTTTCAGTGTGGACAATGTGGGGACCCTGCTCAGGACCATTGAGTACAAAGGCCGCACAGCCTCACTCATCATCAAGGTGGTGCAGCTTAATGGTGTCCAGAAACAGGTACGGTACACGTCGGGATTCCTATACAGTGACAAGAATGTGACAAATGACTATTGTTCATAACCCCCACCCCGCTCTTGATTTATGACCTGTATTAAAAAAAAAAAAGATTTAGTTTGACAATCTGTCAATTAAAAATAAATCTGCATTGTTAATGTAGTTTGTAGTCAATATGTACTTTTTAATACAAGTAAAATGACGTTAAATACGCAGCATAGAGTCTGAAAAAGGTTCCCTTCAAAAATACAGCTCCATCCATACAACTATTGTTCTGACCTTCTAAAACGAGACCATCTGAAACATGAACAGAGCTCCGATTTAGAAACATTTGCATAGCATAGCATTCATATTTCAATACAAAATCGAACATGAAATGGTAATGATAAAACAAAATGCAGGGGAATGCTATGCAATGTTATATGTAACAGGCCTTTTTTATTTTTATAGCAGACTGTACTTTTCCTTTGCCTTACATTTATAACTCTTAATATCACTGAGTGTCAAGGAGACTGTTTATTTTTTATCATTGGTCTTGGGTTGTCTGTGCTACTGAGCTGACCTTTTTATTTTTGATTTGTACCAATAGAAGAAACATGGAATATCGTGTGCCCACTTTGTCCACATCACAGGCAATCGCAAACCAGGAACCATCTGTATTTGCATTTTTACACCAACAGTCATGTTTCCACAAATATAAAACAGAATCACTGGATTTTGAAAAAGGCAACATGTCATCAAACTGTAGTGATGACACATACACTTGTTGACAGTGTCACTGACCCAACATCTTTCCCTCTTGTCCTCCAGACAGAACCGAGTAGTCTCTGACAATTAGCATAATCCCGCAGGCTGCATCCATTTTTTTTCCCATTGGCTCAAATGATTGGCAAAGGGTGTCGGTCCAATACAACTCACAACACTCAACCTCAGCGGGAGTCTTTTTTTCACCATAATCCTCCACCATCAGTTGCTTGTGGAGGCTCTCAGTCGTACAGGAAAGTTCCATCATCGAAGGGGTTCCGTCAGTCGTCATCTGTACCTGTGGGTAAAAAACAAAAACTGCTGTTTTTGTTTTTTACCCACAGGTACAGATGACGACTGACGGAACCCCTTCTATGATCCACCATCAGTTGTATCAAAGAAGTTTCCCCACTTCTCTTTGAGAAACTATGTAGGTCAGAGCAGGGTATTAAATGGCATGTGGTGCCTGTTAACAGACTCTAACCGACCCTTGTAAAGTCCATATAAAATCGAAAAAATAATGGTAATAATCTTGTGGCCCCTTAAAACAATGACCACCCCTGATTAATCTACGCTGTGTCATCATTTTCTCCACAAAGGCAAATCTCTTTCACTGGCACAGTGATTACTGGCTTTACCAGTCAATTCAAGTTTGAAATGATTGGTTATGACAGGCTAGAGGTGAGGTACGCACCCCTTTGCCCATCAAGTACCTTGCCAGCCAATGGCAGGGCGCATGTAAACAATCGACTCATGTTTTTGGAATGCGTGAGGAAGCCGGAGTACCCCGAGAAAACCCAGGCAAGCACAGGGAGAATGTGCAAACTGCAAACAGGAAGGCCAGTTTGAAACCTGTGCAAACTGCAAACAGGAAGGCCAGTTTGAAACCGCCCCCGATATTTTTTGTATGACCGGTTCACAAGGTGGGTGGTACATTTTACTCTCCATTTTTGGGGGAGCAGAATTATGAGTAAAAAAGACACACACAAAAAAAAAAAGCTTGGCTGCAGGTCGATTCTGGAGCACCTCTTGAGAATGTCTTCATCTGATTATTTGTGTATAAATCTTGACATTATTCGCAGAAGGTGGTTATCAATCAAGGTGTACTAGTTGGTGCTGATCCAAATTGGGATCTTTCAGCCTCACAGGGTCTACCTGTGCTGCTGTAATCTTGCCATTATTTGCACCTGCTTTTCCCTCTGCAGGTGATAATCTGTGGACGGCAGGTCATGTGCAGCTATCTAACTGAGGATATTGAGCTGCGGTTGGTGCAGCACTATGTTGGCCCTGATGCTCAGACGGTCGTCAGAGAACACTATGACTGCCTGGAGGCAGGGACGAAGTTGCCTTCCTATATTCTGGAAGATGCGGAACTGACAGAGTTGTGTGTGAGGGCCCGAGGAGATGACGACTGGTCCCAGGATGTGCAGCTCGAGAGGAAGGACAAGGGCACCAGCAGCTCTGTTGTACAGGTAAACTGGCTTAACTGCTGGAATTTGAAAGTCATCATGAGAAGGGAACCCTAAAGGTCAAACCTCACATTAGTTCAGACTTTGAAACAAGCAGCAAAAAAGGTCGATTTAAAGGAGAAAATGTTCTTTCAAAATCTTGCCATCATTTTTACCATATGGCTTTTAAGAGTGAAATAATCTCCCTTCTCAGTCTTGCACTGTTCTTCTCTTGAATAAATTCAGACAGGTCCTTATTTTGAGCTCGGTGTCACAAAAAAGCCACACGGGAAGAAAAAAAAAAAACATGCACTTGGACATTCTGAACCGAGTTCCCGTGAAATTGAGTGTCGCATTATATTCCGTCTATTTTGTTCCTATTAATACAACAGTACTTTAATGTTTAATGTTGAAGTAAATGTTGCCACCAGTCTTGTCTTTTCATCCTCACCAAAGTCGAACCGTAACTGAATTGGCTGTTTGAAAGCAAGTTCGAAGTAACTGCCGATTTAAACATTTTACCTGACTTTACAATGGTTCGTAACTAAGGTAGTACCCTCAAAGGTACTTTTGTTTGCTTCACCATAAACTTTCATGGCCTGGAGACACACCAGAAGCCTTTTGGCCTCGAAGAACGTCTCAAATTCCCCTATGGCAAACTTAAATTTTGATTGGACCATCGGGTGCAGAAATCGACTCCTACTGTTACCTGGTACATACCGTCTATAAACACAATCAAATTGCATTGATAGGTTGCTGCTCCATTCATGACAACGGAAGAATGTGCAAGGCAGGCAAACAGATAACCACCAGCATCATATATTCATCTTTACACCCAGTTTTTGCTGTTGCGTTGGACCACCAACTGTGGGAATAGCTTCTGGGTGGCCGCTGTGGCACATCACTTGAGAACAAACCGTCATCGTCCCCAGCAAAATGTGTTCCATTTTTGTAGTCTGTTACACAAAGATGTCAAGAGGCCGAAAATACAGTTTATACTCACTCATAACATCACTCACTCTAAACAGGAAACATTAGCTGATATGTGGGCACGAGCAGATGCTTCAAAGACACTTTCACGCCACTGAATGAGCACCAGATGATCTTTGCCTCACTGACATTGCCAATCTGATTCCGAGTGAACTTGTTCTCGGCGTAGTCTTGTCTTTCTATTGTTTGGATATTTTATGTGTCTCTTCCTGTTCTGACTCCACGCCAGCCTCTGCTGCTATCGCCTCTGTACAAATCGAATATTCATTCAGCATTCCGTACTGTCAAGTATGAATGTTTGCTTTAGCTCTTTTTTTTTTTTTTTTTTTTTTGGCTCTTTTGCCCACACGCTGACTACCTTGACTATGTTGTACTTAACTCCCTTATTTTTTGATTCATCCTCTGGCAACCTGCTCGTGTTGCATTTCCATCCTTCGTCCCACATACTGTATTTTCCAAGTCTCGACTGTCTAATTTTTGGCTGCTAAGCACTGATGATCTTCCCCATGGTTGGACTCCATTCATTCCAACAAGTTTCGTATCATTTTGTACTCCTGGTCTGTCTATTGATTCCGCTAATGAAAGTTGAATTGCTTAACCACTACTTGAAATGTGCATCGACATCCCAGTGTTTAGATTGTGTGGGTTAAAAACACACACAAATTTTGCTCATCCCAAAAAAGAAGTACGACAATCTATATCTGATGTCTGCTGAGTCCAATACACTCGAGACTAGGATAGAGTTTGACCCACTAAAAAGATTTTGCTTTCTTTCAGGTTCCATGTTCTGGTTGTTCTTTGCTCTTTGTCTGGTGTAATCTCATCACGATTGAGCCCGATTCCCACATGCAGCAACGAGTGGTGAGTGTCCTAGATTCCTGCTTCAATTGTTTTGTTTTTCTACATTGTGATGGAAAATTGAGTGGCTATCTCATATCTTAATGTGATTGTCCAAAAGTGTGTGTATTGTCATTCAGCCTTTTATAAACTTCTTTCAGAGGCGCAATCCAGTTTCTGTATGCGCAATCAGATAATCAAAACCACAAACACGCAACCAGTGACCTAATGTCATGGCTTTCCTGCCTGTGGCTCTCGCTGTCAAATATTATTATTATTATTATATGTCCATTACTGGCGGCATAAAAAATGGAGCCATCATTTTAGAGTAATAGAATAGAATACAATACAATGAAAAGTTAACTTATTGTGAACAACCTTTGCACATACTACCTAAAACAAAAGATATTTGCATTTCTCTTAATGATTCTAATCAGTATTGTATTAGTTATATTACATGCTGGGTTTTGTTAAATGCGCAATGCTTGAATGTGTCTTGATGAGACTTGTTTTCTATTGCTTAGTTGTGTGTGGTTTTTGTGTCTATTTCTATTTTTATCCTATTCTTAGCACTTTGTGAAAGCAAGTAAAGTAAGACATTCATTGCATAACCAGCATTTTTTTTACTGTGAATATGCCAGTAAACCTCTTGAATTATGACATTCAGAACAACTGCTTAAGTGGCTGATATCTGTTTCAGTCAGCCCTGTCCTGGGAGACCTTTCCTTGAATTAAAAGTATATATACATACAGTATATAGTTTGAATGATGCACAGTACTGTCTCCATATCGATTTCCTCATTCAGGTTGTTTTTAGTCCACTATTTGTCATGAGGAGCCACTTGCCAGACCCAGTAATCATCCACATAGAGAAGCGAAGCCTTGGACTGAGAGAGAGCCAGCTGGTTCTCGGACAAGGCCACCAGGAGCCCCTGTTCAACACTGAAGCAGACCTCACGCATCACCTCACTTTTCAGGCCAGGTAAATAGTATAACTTCTAAATACTAATGGATAAAACCCATACAGCATCAACCTTCATATTATTAGGCACGGAGAAAGAGACATTCATCTTGTTCCTTGTCATTGTGGCAGATCAGTAGTGTTTTGAAAGGTCATCATTCATTCATTCATTAGCTGTATTTGAAATGTTATTGCAAAGGACAGTCTGACACTTTTTCTGGCTCGTTGTGCTTCGATCTAGTGCAGTTGGGAGAGTCACTTGAGATTTTGTCCCCCCCCCCCCCCCCATTTTAGTTTCTGTGAGCCAACATTAATTAGCTCACAATCCAGGGAGATCCAAGCTCCATTTCAGGGGCGCAGGAAGTGAGCTTTGCAACAGAAACCCAACCTCAATTCCAACATGTCAGGTCTCACCATAATTGCCCCTAATTTACATCGAGGCGCTAACAGAGAGCAGGTTTTTGGTCCCACCTTGGCTCTGTGTGTGTTTTAGTGGAAGATAGGATGGACAGTAAGTATCCGCTCGTGTTCATGTGGATATCCAGGATCTGTCTGTGGTAGAACAGGCCAGTTAGTTGTGTACGAGTATGCGTCAGGTGAGGTGTGACCGTCATCGCTTTAGCGTGGACAGTCACCACTGTCTGGCGCACTCACTAAGTCTTTTTGTGGCTGTGGTTGTGTGTGTGTGTGTGTGTGTGTGTGTGTGTGTGTGTGTGTGTGTGTGTGTGTGTGTGTGTGTGTGTGTGTGTGTGTGTGCCTAAGTGTTTGTCCACTTGCTCAAAACATCCTGTAAGACACTGTTTACAGTTGAAGGTTCTTCTGGAATGAAATATCATTTGCATCAGCATGTGCCCTCAAATAATTGAGCATGTATCTGTAATTCACCTGAAGGAAACATAGTGTGTAATAACATCGCTGGATAACATCATCATCGTACCTCATGTGTCATGTCACGCATGTATAAATGTCAGTTGCTTTGACTTTCGGTAACATTGGTGTTTATGCGTCAGTGTGGGTGGCCCCTTGGGAAATTACTACCAGATGTATACAGTGTATGGTAGCTACTCCTACCGTATTTGTCATCTGTGCATGAATAAACTGTCGTGTTTTGAGAAGGAACCGAGGGAAGTTCATTCTTATGCTAGCAACTATGGTAGCAACTGATTGAGTGTAATTGACTCCCCTGAGAAAGTTTTGTTGGGGGTTAGGAGTTGATATCTGGTCACAAGTTTGTTTTGATTAGAGCTGCCTTAAAAGAACCACAGTAATAGTGAGTGGACGATCCGAGGTATATTTAGCTGCCGATTTTGCAGATAAGTCTCAAAAAGATTCAACAAACATTTCAGTGTCTTGTCCTTCTGAGTTGCAACCACAATGATCCGAGCATTTACGGTGTCCCCTGAATAAACTATGTCTCACCACACGCTTCCATTCTCCTTCCCCTGGTAGCCCAACTCAATCCATGCCTCATCCCTTTCCAGACTCACAAATATACTCGACAGAAACCTCAAATGGGAATGTACCTTTGCGCGTGCACGCACGCACATGTGCACACATGTAAAACTCATGGATGGATTCAATTTTCAGTGTTCGGTGGTCAACGGTTCATCTTCCCTTCCTGTAATTACACATAGTTGCGGGTTATAATGGAGAGTGCTGCGGGTGCAACACAAGAGAGACAGACAGGTCTTAAACATAACCACCATGTCCTGATCAGGTCATCTAGGCAACCACAACAGAAAACCGAGGCTTACAGTCTGAAGTCTCTTCAAGTTTAACCCCCCCAGGAAGTGTTTTGAATGAAAAGCTTCCTGTCAACACCTTGTCCTTCTCAGCTTTCTTGTCCCAGATCCGTAAAACGCTAACCCTTCAGTTCTTTTTTTCTAGCAGAATGGATGCAATTCATTAACAACCGTAATTCATTAGGCAGGCATCTTTACCCAATACGATTACTGCCGGTCTACATGTGCTTCGTGGACTTGGAGCATGCATTTGACTGTGTACCCCGGGGGATCTTGTGGAGGATGCTCCAGGAGTATGGGGTATCAAATGCCCTCATAGGGGCAGGTTGATTCATGCACAATCTGTGTCACACTTTGGTCCACATTGCCCACAGTTAGTCGGATTCGTTTCCAGTGAAGGTTGGTCTTCGCCAAGACTGCCCTTTGTCACAGATTTCGCCTTATATTCTGAAGCGCCTGATAGTGCGGAAAATATGGTCGTTTTTTTTTTTAACTTGGGTTAAAAAGCATTTACGTTGTATTGGTATGTTTTGAATCTTTATTAATTCATGTGATTCACTCTATAATATACTGTATAATAAAGGATACCTGAAAATCGTGGGAATGTATTATACACAGTGTACAAGTACAGAGAAAAAAAACCCTGCTGTTTAAGGGTGTATTTATGGGAGTCGTGTGAAAATACAGTATGTATTCCGTTCAGATTTGTCTGTGAGCAGTTTCAACTTTTATTGAACCTTCTCTGTTTGAATGTAGTGTACACTTTATGGACAAAGTCTTGTGTGTCTAGGGCTTCCTTTTAAGCAGTCATATCAGCTGACTGTGTGTGCCAGCTTGCTAGAAGAACCTGTAGACCCCATTTCATGTTTTTGTCGTCATTTTCAGTGAGGATAAGGACACTTCCCACTGTGCCGTGCCCATCTCCACAAGCCTCATCAAACAGATATTGGACAAGAATGGCGATGAGGACAACCTGGAGCGCATCCTTGGTGATTTTTATGGTCAAAAAGCATCCACTGAGTCATCATGGCCCTACGTCTCCAAAGACACTGACAGGTATGCCAACTTAGTATCTCCCTCTTCAGTACCCTGTTGATATCTTAGTTACCTGGTTATGCAGCAATACACTACATACAAAAAAAAAATGTCGATGAATTATTTTTACACTTCAACAGCTTCGCTATCATCATACAAATATATTCAGTTGAAAAACTGATGAAAATTATATGGATAAAATAACCTCTGAATGGTGAACAATGGTTGTCATGTTACACTTGGTGACATTTGAGGATCACGTGCACCCCACTAATTTTTAGATGTTTGCAAAATACGAAATACCTGCAGCTGAACTGAGCGCCCTTCAAATCTTGCTGACTCACGCACAATACTACGCTGAAGAAATAGTGCATGTAATGAGTGTGGGGGAAAAAAAAATAAATCCATCTATGTTATTGTACGTGTATTACGAATACAACTGGACGCCATGCTTGACACATAGCTTACTCAGTCATTGTAGAATAATCAAAAACCGATGTTGTTGTTTTTCATGTTACAAGTGTATTTTACAGTGAACTCATTGAACTGCCGGTTCAACTTACTAAACCCGTTGCGGTGGAAGTATACAATAAATGACAGAAGGATAACATGCGAAGCCGTAACGGAATTTTTTTCCGCCGACGTATTGTCACATTATGAATAGCGTGGGACTCGATTAAACAGTGTTGTTTTGCAATGCCATTTTGCCAGTTTATTGGTAACAAGTGTTTTGCAAAGTGACACATTTTAATGCTATAAAGGGCTCTTAATTACATGGGCGTGTTGGCATGTCACGAAAAGGAAGTGGTCGCGACAGCTCTAAAGTACGTTCACACAAACGACAGCACAAATCTCAGTGAGGTTGTTCATATTATTTCTGCCGTATGTAGTCAATATTGTAAGCAGTGAAATCTAGTGATTAATTGCAAAGGGAAAAAAAATACTGATGCTGAAAATGGGTCAGCGTTTGGAACATGTACTTATTCATGGGATTGTAATTCTTTAAATATTTTTTTCTTTCTCCTCATGGGGCCCTGCAGTGATCCACGAGCCAAACATTTGGCTGACCTTCACTGCAAGGCCAGTGTATCAATTAAACCTGCACATGCAAAAAAAAAAAAAAGACACTACTGTATAAAATAAAGGTCAACCACACTGGAAGTATGTAGCTAACTTTAGCGGAAAAGACTTGGTGCTTTTTCTCAGGGTTCTTTACGATTCACAGGACTGTGATTACTGTGAAATGACTTTGCAAAGGCCTGTTTGACGTTGTGTGTTCCCATGTTTGTCATCTACTGTGTATCTGTTTGCATCTCAAAACTTTTATTGTAACTTTCTCTGTTGGTGTACCATTTGTTGTTAATCGTGTCAGCGTGTTAATGGCTTGTGTGATAATTGTCTGTTTCTTCACACCTCACTTGAATGACTGCTTGAGGTGGTTTTACTACTTATCTTAAAAAGTGTAAAACGTAGCAAGTGGACAGGGGAACTGTCCCCTTTAGTTTTAGTAATGACGTTAAATTGTTTAGTTCACAAACTAAACTGACAGTGACATTTGATAATCGGAGCTGCATTACACAGCTTTGTGTTTGTCTCTCATGTGTTTGTCCTTATTGTTTTTGTGTCTGCGGGGAGAAGTCAAAGAGTCATGGCGCTGCAGCTTACCCAATTCAGCACTGCACTGGCAAGCTTGTGTCATCTGGCTAAGCTCACTGCAGAGAACAAGCCATTAATGTTGCCAGTATTACAGGTTCCCTTACATTCACTCATGCTGAAACCACGCATATCCATTTATTAGTACGCGTAACAATATTAATGCCCACATGTTCCTTGTCTTTCCCGGATCACTGTCTGCTTCTATTTATCGAATTATGTCTAACTACTCATTAGCTGCAGTAGTAAAATGAAATTGATGTGGCTGGAGTGAATTGAAATGCTGTACTTCCACTACTGCCTCGAACAGGTCAGTACCAGAGCCCCTTGCCCAGTGGGATAGTCCCATGCAAGTAAAGTTATCGTGCTGGAAATCAGGCCTGAGCACCTTGCTGGTGGAGTTGCTGCCTTGGGCCCTGTTGGCTAATCACTCCCAGTGGGATCTTTGGCTTTTTGAAGGAGAGACCATTGTGCTCCAGATACCAGCCGGCAAGGTTATAGTCCCACCCAACGTCAAGGTACACAGGCATCCGCAGCATGCACTTTTTAGTCGAAATGGACAGCCACGTCTTTTCATTACAAGCTGTCATTTGTGGCTCTGATATAGGAAGCTTTCCAAATCGGCGTCTACTGGGCTCAAACAAACACTGTCCACAAGTCTACAGCCATGAAACTCGTCCATGATCTAACCTCACCTCGATGGAAGGAGGGGACAGATTCAGAGGTGATAACGTTGGATGAGGAAGGATACGTAGAGGCTAACATCACCCTGGGAGCTGTCCCTGGCAGACAGAAGGTGAGGGACCTGATTACTGGCTATCGTGCCAACATGAATGTATGAATTGATAAACTCGTACAATGTCACTGATCATTTGTAATGATGAAAGTCTTTGGCAAGTAACATGCTTTGATAAACCTGAAAGGCTGAAGGAAAAATACATTTACCAGACCCTTAATTAGGTACACCAATATACAGTTTAAGAATTGGGAAAATACCTTCAAAATCCTGCCTGACTTTTTTTTCAATTGTTTATTCAATGTGTTACGTTATAGTTAAAGTGGGTAAACAATATGCAGGGACTGTCAACACCTTGCAATGCAGTTCTATACAAGTGGAAGTTTCACCTCTGATTAACATATTGTCAAATTCTGATCAAACAATCAAAACCATTATTACCCTCACATAATTTAGTTAGTGAGCCAGCCAGCTGCCACTCAAAGGACTGCCGTGTTATTGGGCGAATCATTAATTTTCAGTCAAATAAGTCTGACATTTCAAGAACAGTTCAGCCCCGGTGCCCTATTTATCGTTCGATTATTCAGATGAACTGGTTGTTAAGTGGTGTCTCAATACAAAACATACCTGCATTGAATGCCATCCTAAAAACAAGCAAATCAATGTTTACATTTATGAAGCATTCCATCGCTAATATTTCTGTCTGTGTCTGTCATTTCATCCTTAGCTATGTCAGTTCTGTGTGTCATCCACGGTGAAACATGGCATCCAGATTCTCCAGATAGAGGACAGAACAATCCTTGTCAACAGCACTCCTTACACAATACACTACAGGCCTCTGCTGACTGACCACAGGCTGGGAAGTGACAACCAGGTAATGAGCTTGAACCTGGTTCTGTACCTCAACATGGGAAATTACATTTTCTAAATAGAAAATCAACGCACTGAAGGCAGCAAAATAGAAAGTCATTTTATGTCGGGGGCAGGGGGGAAGACAACTCAATTCATATGTTTTAACGTAAGAGCAAAGTTCATGCAAGGCCAAAATGTGTTTGTCTGTGTAGGGCGCTGCTTTAGGTCTGTCCTGTCCTACTAGAGCTTTGCACGTACAGTAAATACACTGTGCACATGACTCATACACACCCAGTCACGACCACACAAATGGATTAGAAGGACGCAGCAAGCCATTTTCCATCTGATCATTTTGCTCCCCCTCTCTCTTCTTCCACTCTTCTCACCATGAGTCAACGGCACTTTGTACGGGTATTAGACTAACATCCAGAATTGGATGCAGGTTTCCCTTCTCGCTTTCATCTGCTGCTTGTCCCCAAAGAGACCAACAATGTAGTGATGTCATTTTACAAGCTTTCAGATCTCCCTAAAGAAAAATCCCAAAGTGTGCCAGTTGCCACAAAAGTACCTACTAAAATCCTAAAAACAAATGCCTTATGTGTAACAACAAAGTGGGTGCAAATGTTGAAAGCATTACAGAACAGTATTATGTGTTCCTCATCTCTTGAGGTATCAGTGGCTTTTAAATGAGCCCAAGACTTCTCAGCTACCAAATTAACACAAAGCGCAGTTGGAAAAAGATAAAATAAATGATATGAGGTTTGAACACAACCATATCTGCCCCCCTCACCCCACTCCAGACACATCCACACATCCTGCACAGTATTCTCATCCAGTTCTCAGGTTTTTTTTTTCCATGTTTCTCAACTTTCCATGTAACTTCTGTTGCACTGATTTTGATGATAGACAAATGTAGTTCAAGTTTTTCTTTGCACAGGCCTATGACGTACCAGAGACGACAGCATTCGACTTGGCTCCCTCTGAGCCGTCATCTCCGAGCAAACCTTGCTCTCTGCCATGCTGGGATCATCTTCAAACCAGCAATCAGGGAAAAATGGAGTTCCCCTTGCCAGTGAAATGCATGCTTTTCAGTTCATTATCAAGGCCTGATGCCAGACATGGGCCTACAGCATGGAGCCTCCCCGCACTCATCCGACCAGACTTCCTTCGGCAGAGCATGTCGGTTCCTGGTGAAACAAGCTCTGGGGGTGGCCCGATCAGCAGGTGGGTTCGCTGTATCGCAGACTCTGTGGCAGCAACAGTCAATTTAGAGCGGGGTACGAAAGCATGCTGGCACAGGACTAAAAGAAAGGAGGAGCTGAGCAGTTTGGAGCTTGCTAAGCAACAGTAATGGAATGAAGGAGGAAACTCCCTCTGCAGTTCCTGAGCTTGTCTGGATCCATCTCAGCGTGTCCCATATTTTCCCATGATTTTTACCATTTCTTCAAACTCGCTAGTTTTCCTTCTGTTGCAGCTCCGTCGACGAATGTTTCTCAGATCGATTTGGTGGGGCTACAAGAGGCTGTGATTATATTTGTCACGGATTTGTTTATTTATATTTGTATTTTCCAGGGCCATAGTCTTGACGTACCAGGAGCACCTCGGAGTGACATACATTACTCTAAATGAGGATCCTTGCCCTCCCATGTTGGTTCACAACAAATGTCCTATTCAACTTTTGCTTAAGGAGAATGTCAAAGGTGAGAAGGAAAGAGTCTGTGTGACTCTCCCAATCCCCTCATCTCCTCTTTGAATTGTAGAGATATTACTACAATGTTTTAACATCATCTTTTACAGAGACTCCAAGGACTGAAGTGTACTGTTGTCTTCTTCCTGCAAATAGCTCTGTGCACCATGAGCTCTACCATCACTTTTCTAGTTTCCCCGACTGCAGGCAGAGAGAAGCACTGCCCACACTGTTGCTAAAAACCACAGCAGATGTTGGCAGCACAGACTGGACCGACCCTATTGACATCAATTGCCCTGGTACTCAGGTAAAATTACCAAATTCTAGATTTATGGATTTGTTCTTCTGATAATTTTCTTTTCTTTCTCTTTTTTTTTTTTGTTTCATCTGAACAAACAAGACCGTCACGAGGTACTTGGTAATGATGATGAACGATGACAGAATGCAATGCCGCTGATAACACGCATATACAGAAATATGTTTTAAAGGGGTAATTATTTCAATTTTGATTGACATTGTCAGGGAGCGATGAGTGTAACAATCTGATCTCTTTTTTTTTCATTTCTAGTTTAGAACTGTTCTGAGAGCTTAATAATTTAGATTTGCACATCTAACCAAAATATAAGACACAACAGACTCTGTATGGTACAGTACAGTTTCACACCAGTGAAAACTACAACCACAATGATAAATACGTTATTTAATTCATACCTCTTGCAGAGTGTCGATCCAAAACTGAGCATTATTATCCTTGTAAAAGCAGACTATTTGAAAGAGTTCTGGATTTGGGTGTCATTCAACTGTGCAAGTGGTCACACACTCAGATTGTACAGTCGAAGAGGATCTTAATGACCATTCACATGTTTTGAAGTTCATCTGAGCAGTCTGATCAGCTGGTCAGGGAATAGAGTAGCCAGGAAAGTATGTAATGTTTAGTGTTGTGTCTAGCCAGCCACAGGTTGGAGTTGAGGCTGCGGCCGTGCATCTCTTGTTACTGTGAGGTCCTCATCTGACCTCTGTGGTACGGGTTAGGGGTCAAAGTTCAGGCTTGTTATGACTGCTGAGTGAAGTGTTCAGTGGGCTCTTCGTCTTGTCACATGAGGAGTTGATCATGTTGATCTGGGAGCGGTGGAGGCTAAAATCTGACACATGCATGTTTGAGCACACATCTGTCAAAAGAATGTTGGGGGTAGCTATGAATCTGATAGTCCTTTATATAGGTGAAAATCTGTTTCTTTTCTTAACTTTTATGCTGATCATGAGTACTATTAAAGGGGAAGTCAACCCAAAAATGTTCTTCACAGTATTGTGTTCTATGGGCCTTCGCTAGTCTAAATGCGGCTTTCTCATTAATATTGTGTTTGTGGAATATGGGTTAAGCAGCTAAATCCACCCGCTTTTATCCATGTCAGGGGGCGGCCATTTTGCCACTTTCTGTCAACTGAAAATAACATCACAGTTCCTCAGGGCTCAGGTAACGAGCAATCACGGGTCACCTGTTTTGTGAAGCTGAGCCATATTATCCACAAATGCAATATGAATCAGAATGCTGTGTTTGGACGAGTGGAGCGTCATAGAACATATTTTTGGAAAGGAAATGTTGGGGTTTACTTCCCCATTAACTCTTTGTTGTCTTTTGTAATTGTTGCTCAGGTGGTGTTCCTGCCAGGTTTTGGTTGTCTCTACATTGATGTGGGATATGAGAGAGGCACCTTGGTTCTTTCTCTTTCACCAGAGGGCGGTGTCGATTCTGTAACCAACCAGCACAGCAGGTATGTATGCACAGACACTTGCTTCGTCCAAGGTCATTCTTTCAACTAGTATATTTATATGACCCAAAAAGGCCCAGATGGCCTCCATTTGCAGTTCCTATGCGGAAATCATTCCTAGACGCGACATGCAAAGTGCCATCTTTTCCACCCCCGGGGAGAAATAAAAGCCTGTTAGAATGACGATGTGTTTCGGAACATGGCTCTTACAGCGTTATTCCATTACATCAACACCAAACATGATTAAAGTTTGAATAGCAGGAGATCTATGTGATTAATATCAGGTTAATGTGAGCATATGACCTCAGACGATGTTTGTTATTATGCTCTGCTAGTAGGAAAGTCACTTCTATTATGCTCTATAAACAATCTGAATGCTTTAATTAATCTGTGTATGAAATGGAGAAGGTGAATTCATTTTCACACTCCTTTTTTTTTTCAGGTCAACCAAGCTGTCCTTAACTTTCCTTTTGAGTGAGGCCAGCGTAGTGTTGAGTGATGATATCACCAGCCCCTCAGGTTCAGTGGAGCTGCTAAGACTCACACTGACCAACCTTTTCCTCAGACTGACCCCAGCATCCACCTCGCTGCCCCCCGACGTGACCCTCGAGCCTGGGGCAGCTACGGAATCCATTTTTACTCTGATGCGTGACGCCTCACTGATCGAGGTTTACTGCTTGTGCCTACAAGTGGACAACCAGCTGTACAACCGTGCAAGCTTCCACTTCCCCGTGCTGCTGTGCCAGGAGCAGAGGGGAGTGGCCGAGCCCAGGAATCAATGGAGTAACCATGACATTCCCACTGAGACTCCTGAACTCCTGGAGGAGTTTAAGCGTTCTTGTTTCCTCCAGCTGAGGCTAATCCTGGCTGTGGACAGATGCACTCTGGATGAGGTTGGATTCCATTTTCAAAACTTTGTGAAATAATGTGCTAATGCAGGGTATAGTGAACCCCTGCATATTCACAGTTTGGCATTTGCAAATTCACCCATTCTGAGATTTATCCTTTATTTGCTGAAAAAATAGCTATTTGCTGTTTTTGTGCTCAGGCCAAAGCCATGTCTAATATCAAAAGTTTCTTTGATGCCATCTGGTGGCAAGCAACTCTGTTGACCTGGGGAGAGGAGCTTTAGTTCGTCAGGTTATAGCCTTGTCAGCTAGAAATAAATGCTTTGCCGCCATCTTGTGGCAACTATTCGGTTACTACACACCATTTTGGGTGGCCGTCAGTTACAAGCAGATTTTTGCTCCTTGGTCCTTTATCCCCCAAGAATAGTTGAAGTTCAGTGTACGCACATACCAACCATCGGACCAACTTTAAGAATCTTTCCTCCCTTGCGATCGAAATCCTCAAAGGCACGATTCTCAGATAATAATAATAATAATACATTTTATTTATAAGCGCCTTTCAAAACTCTTAAGAGCAGGAATGTCTTTTTTCCCTCTTGCCAGGTTTCTCACATTTAAAAAAACATTTTAGATGTTAAAAATCAGTGTGTGTAGCCTGCTTTATTCGCTCTTGTCTAAAGTCGACAATTTCTCGTCTCAAAACTACCTTGCTTGCTGTGTCCTTCACAGGTCAATTTCCAGGTGCAGCCCGCTAGAGTGTACCTTGAAGATACATTTGTTTACTATGTTAAAACCTTGTTCCACACCTTCATCCCCGACTCTGCGATTGCCTCAGTGAAGCCACAGAAGTGTCAAGTAGAGTCAGCCCCCATCCTCCCTCAGCAGGTGCATAAATCATAACAGTAGAGTCTGAATGAGCTGAGGCAATCTGGGCCAATATTGGAGTAATGTTGTGCTGTGTAAATGTCCTGTAGGTACTTCAGTCAACACAGGCGCTGGTCCGGCCTGTGCGTCTGCACAGGCTGACTATTCAGCCAATCCACCTGCTGGTCAGCATCCATGCATCCCTCAAGCTCTACATTGCCTCAGACCACACTCCTTTAGCCTTCTCCCTGTTTGAGAGAGGGCCACTCTGCACTACAGCCAGACAGCTGGTCCACGCTCTGGCGATGCATTATGCTGCTGGGACCCTCTTCAGAGCCGGTACGTCATACTGCCGTTATTGTTGCGTTTACAGCTGAGAAGCACAAATGTGTGAGACAAAGGAGCTTCAGTGATACGTTTAGCAGTTGTCATGACTGCCACCTACAGGACAAGAGCAGGACAGTACACTGTTGCTTATTTGAAGGGTACTTCACCTATGTATGCCATTTGCAGTCGTAAAAGGTTTATATTTTGTCTCCAATTAATTTGATCACTTCATTATTTTAATGTACATTTAATAACTTGAAAACCAGTTTTAGAAATAATATAGCTGACCGTTATGTTCTTTGAACACTTCCCTAGCTAACCATCACGTGTGTAAATGCCGGAGTAGACTGCACAATGATATACACGAGGGCAGGGCAATAATTCAATATGCATATGTATTGCGACATGTGAGTGATATAGAAAATGCCTTTGATAAAATGTTCATTCAAAAAACAAATCTGAAAGCACACCCCACCTACAGCCTCGTGCATGTAGTCGGCAGCACGCGGCCGCCTCCAAACACTAAGAAGAACATAGATATTTTTTTTCATTCATTTAAATCTGTTGTTCTACTGTCCCAAAAAAATGTAGAGGATAAAAAAAACAAAATAACATTGAAAAACTAAGAAATGGACCAATCAGAAATAATAATTAGGCCTTACTGTAAACATCATAATTTTTAAGCTATGATCCTACATACGGCGTTAGCATCAATGCTACTTATGTAAATGTGACTGATCAGAAAAATGATATGATTGATTGCTGCTTTCATCCGGTGGCTAGTTATTAGCGACTAAACTGCTAATGTTTTTGTGGGCAGGCTGTGCAATCTGTTGGCTTTCTCATGCATTCCATTTGATCACTTGGGTGCGACTTGTTCAAATGATTCGACAGGTTTATTGTATTGCCTTTTTGTTTTTTTTTAATGACAAACCATGCACAACAGCTTCCTCCTCCACATCGCTCCGGAGATACCGCAAGGGGAAGAACATCTTTTGTCAAAATAGCTTCACCTTTGGAAGTCATGGCTGCCCATCAGCTGCGCGTTTCGATGTACATTTGGTCAATTTGTTCCTCTGACTTTCTGTTTACTGCTTTGTCTTTCATTTATTATTATATTCTGTTTATTATAACTTGCAAACCAATGTTAGAAGGGGGACTCCGATTGGCCAGACTCGCGCACATTTCCGTCACGTCGGATGGAGTAAATTTGCTCACAACTCGCAGGTCTGTCTCTGTGCGGCCCAGTCCCACATGAGCCGAGGCCCGGTACCGGTCCGCGGATCGGTGGTTGTGGACCCCCGCCTTAACCGACTCTTTCCCCCGTGCGTTGTAGGTGCTCATGTTAGTTCCAAGGCCGTTTCATGTCTTGAACACATATCCGCATTTCTTCAAATATATGTTTTCCTGTGGTTGTGTCATGCAGTGATTTATTAGTACTGTACCTAAAAGCGCCTCTGTAATGCACAAACCAGAGTCGGCTCCACGGATAAAAATTGCCAGCTGTGCATTGTCAGTGATGCCAGCGCTCTCGTCTACAGCAAAGGGAACATGTGATAAAGTCTTCCCTTTTCCATCATCTGTAATTGTAAAGCGATGGCAAGCTCGCATATCTAATTGGCAACAGTGTTTCTGCTGAGGCTTACATTAGAAAACGCTATCTTGTGTGGACATGAGACATTGCACACTTAAATCTTGTAGCACTTCAAAACCGTTTTCTCTCACTGGCTGGGCTGATTTTTGCACCAGGCAGCGCTGCGTAACAGTGATTTGCGTGCCAACCTCACAGTTCTCAGGTTCAGGGTTCTTAGCGCCCGTGTTCCTTTGTGGAGTTTGCATGGAATTTCTCCAGGCTTCCTTCCACATTCCAAGAGCATACATTTTGGTCTAATTGAAAATTAAATTGTGTAAATTTGAGTGTGAAAGGTTCCCCCCCAATGATGTGACATTCCTGGGTGTACCCCATCTTTTGCCCCAAAGTCAGCTGCTTGGTATTAGGCTCCAGATCATCCGTGACCCTAATGAGCAAATCACTGTATAAAATAGCTGGATGGAATTCCATTTCCAAGCTCAGTTCTGATCACAAACACCTCAAATGATCTTGCAGGCCAGACATAACTGGAAGTTGGGCCGAATGTGGCGAATTGGCCTTGAGTTTCACTTGTCTTCTCTGGAGGAAAAGAAAGGAAGCACAGTCTGAATCCCTTCATGCCTGGCGAAGGCCTCCTCATGTTTGACAGATTACTCGTGATGGATTACGGCTAATCTGAGCAGTCACCACGGAGAAATCTGGCTATCAGGCCCTACGGTATACAGCCTCTGGCCCGTGCTCTTCTCCTGTCTAGTCGAAGCCTCCACATGTGGTCTGATTTAACCCATCATTTCCACATCAGAAATTATTGTTCTGGCTGGGTTCTTCCTTTTCCGCTGTGTTTCATCACAGCCCTCATTTCTGCTTGTATTTCAACACCTCGCCATGTTCTCCACTTCCTGAGTCATCATTTGGTTGGGCAACCATTGCACTCTGGGACTGATTAGCTTCAGGATGTACAATACTGCATTTGAACACATGCACAATGTAGGCATATGGATATCATGCACATGCTTATCCGGATGTACGGTCTGTGTGGGTGTTTGTGTGTGATTGGGTGTATTTATTGTGAGTAGATATTAAGTCTAAACAATCCTCATCAAGTGGAGAAGAAGCAGCACAACAATGACATTACCAAAAACTGCGCAAGTCCTTCCAAAATTGCTGAAAATTATTCTTCTCCTAAAACTAGTCAGGGAGGCTGCCAAGAGGCCGTTCATCCACACCAGATTCTGTCATCCATGTCTTTATGGACATGTTGGAAGAGGAAGGGGCCAGCTCCAAATTGTTCCAACAAAGTTGGGAGCATGGAATCGTCCCAAATTTTTCAGCATACCAAAAGAGACGTCATATCAACGTTTGGGAAATGGTGAACTTGACTGGCCTGTAAAGAGTCCTGATTTCAACCCGATAGAACACATTTCTCATCCAGCATCATCGCGTGACCTCCCAAGTGTGCTTCTGGAAGAATGGTCAAAAATTCCCATCAACACCCTCCTAAGCCTTGTGAGCAGCCTTCTCAAAAGAGTTGAAGCTGTTAATAGCTGCAAAGGGTGGACCGACATTATATCGAACGCTCTCGATTACGGATGGGATGCCACTTGAAATGTGAATCCAGTCAGATGAGCCAATATAGTTTGCTTCTTGGTTTTGTTTAGTTTTTTTGAGTTGCACAAAGAACAAATTTCAAATGATTTACCCTGATCTTGTTCCATTTGAAGAAGGGTGCGCAAACGTTTTCTGGCAACTGTATACATGTGTAAGAGCACTGTAAATAGTAGCTCCTGGCTGGGCTTGGCCGTTCACTAAAACCACTGTGGGAGACAATGTAAATCCATGTGGGCATCGAGGTCTCTGACTGAACATGAAAGTGAGCAACAAATGTCAAAGTGTATTGAACAACACGATAGGTCGTGTGTGATGTCACTGAGCTATGAATACAGAAGAGAATGAACACGTGAGGGAAGGTAGTTTGAGGCAGTCAATACAGCTGAGATACTTTCACGCAGGTGCGCGCATGTGCGAGTGGGTAACTGATGAATATAAAATCCTGATGTCAAACGTATTTGTAGAGAGAGACTGACGCTCTCAAGTGCTTTTAGCAAGAAACTCAGGAGGCTTGCTAGTGAGCAGGTGCTGCTGGTTTATTTTGTCGCTCATAAAAACCATTGTCCAGCCTACATGTGTGGAGTTTGCATGTTCTGTGTGGGTTTTCTTTGGGTACTCCAGTTTCCTCCCACATTCCAAAAACATGTATGGCAGGCTGATTGAACACTCTAAATCAGGGGTGTCAAACTCATTTCACATTGTGAGCCACATGCGGCCTCAGTAGAAGTCAAGTGGGCCAGATCATTAAAATTATACCATACTCTGTTATAAATAACCGAAATAATATGTCTTTCCTTTGTTTTGGTCTAAAGAAGCACAACAACATTTGGAAAATGTTGAAATTTAATGACTTGGGAAGTGCAGTGCAAATCCAGCCTGAGCTTTGTAGCCCAACTGATTGGTTAATTTATTGATTGCTAGTCATGTCTCACGGCATCTGCCCACACTGTGTGGTCGCCGGTTTCGGTGACATCATATATAAGGTTTTCTTGAGTGTTTAGTTCATCCATCTCATATCAGTGCAATGAAAATCCAATCCTATTTCCTAACATACGTGTGGCCTCACAGTATGCCCATGCCAGTGTTTGTTCCTTTGTGTTATAGGCTGGGTTGTGGGGTCTTTGGAGATCCTGGGCAGTCCTGCCAGCCTGGTGCGCAGCATCGGTAATGGCGTGTCCGATTTCTTCCGCTTGCCGTACGAGGGTCTGACTCGCGGACCCGGCGCCTTTGTCAGTGGCGTCTCCAGGGGAACCACTTCTTTCGTCAAGCACATCTCAAAAGGTAACACGAATGTTCAGGAAGGTTTTATTGTCATTGAAAACTCTTTCTTAAAATTTGTCCATCTGTGCCCATGCAGGCACCCTGACATCCATCACCAACTTGGCAACCAGCTTAGCCAGAAACATGGATCGGCTGTCTCTGGATGAAGAGCACTACACCAGGCAGGAGGAGTGGAGACGGCAGCTCCCGGAGAGTCTGGGTGATGGACTCAGGCAAGGCCTGTCACGACTTGGCATTAGTTTATTAGGTAGGCGAGGTTGTAGATCGTACTTATGTCAAAGCGGGTCAACAACACACTGGGTCTGAACGACAGTGAAGCACCACATATTCATGGCTCTGCATTTGCAAATTTGTCTGTTGGCAGATTTTTTTTATATTTAACCTATTAACCTCCATTATGAATAGGAAAACTTGAAAGTTTGTATTTTTATTTTTCGTGGCCAAAATACTGTCTACATTGTAAACATACACATTGTAGACTCTACAATGTGTATGTACTGCTTTGGGAGAATTCTGAGGCTACAGTGGTTCAGATCTCCCACGGCCACAAAAGCCAAAGCCTTACATTATGAATAAGAGCTTGCATTTGCTCTCTGCATTGGAAAGCTTGCTATACAAGGAAATTGACAACTCACAATGATTTCTAATTAGTTGAGTAATTCCAGTCACTACATGAAATATGACTTAAACCTCAGCAAAATTCATCAGAATTTCAAAACTTCATTTTAGCGGTTTCAATTTTCAAAAGAAAATATTCTGAAAGCCTACTTTTGCTCAAGTAATATCATGTATTATTGAAAATAATGCGACTGGCGCAAAATACAGCAAATAAGGTAAAAAAAAAAGGACTTTTATTCCTGTACCTAGTTTTTATAATAGGTGCCATATGCAGAGGAAAAAAAAGGTGAGTGAACAAACACTAACACGAAAACGCTAAATATAAATCGTAACAAATACATCACCATTAAGAGACATTTGATCAAATTAATGCAATTAGTGTTTGAAGCAATAGAAAATATGAGCCATGGAGTTAGCCCCAAAAATGTTGATAAGTTAACCAAGTGACTTCAAATTTGGCGGAAGCAGAGAAAAATATATAATTTTTCAGAATATTTGTATTTGCAGAATATCTTACTCACCTCACTGTTTTGCAAGGGGGGTTGTCAACTACAAATTTTGGAAGCGGTGACTCAGTGTTATATCTGTGTGTACCTTTCGAGAAATGTTAAAGTTGTGACTTCATCGTGAATGATTTCCAGCCATAAGATGAAAAAGGGAAGCGCAATGAAAGATGGAAAGCAACAGTTCCGACGTCACTCGCAGTAAGCAATCATGATGATCGCTTGTTAAGTGACCATTTTTAGGAGCCTTTCATCAGCCGAGACACACGTACTTGTACCTCCTTAAAGAGCGCGTTTCGTAAAATAGTGATGGAATGTACTCAAGGTTGTTCAGTGCTAGTTGACTTCAGAAAAATCACCAAAGCTGAGGTAATGCCTCAAGCAGCCGGCATCGTTGCGTTTACATGTTCCCATGTTCCCCTCTCCAAACGTGGCCAGCTTCACTTTGCGGCAATTGCAAAAGGTACTTTTTTTGTGTGTGTAGGGCAACCCCAAACCGTGGGCATCACCCTGTTCTAGCTTTGATGCTGAAAGACTGAGTCATCAGCAACAAATTTCAAAACACACATTTTTGTCAACCACAATTGGCCAACTTCCCCAACTTTTTTTCCCCCAACCTAGTTTACTGTAATGCATTCGTAAGGGTGGTGGTCTGTGTTCAGATGCTTGTAAGCGTTCACTTCTTTAGTTTTGTCACATACAGTATTTCTGTATGTGTCAAGACTATGTCCGGCCCCTTGTCCAAAGTCAACTGGATAGGCTCCAGCTCGCTCTATTTGGGACAAGCCGAAAAGAAAATGGATGAATTTTAAAACTCACTCCTCTTTGTTGTTGTTCCAGGAGCAATAGCGGGCATTGTGGACCAGCCCATGCAGAATTTCCAAAGGAATTGGGAGATGCAGAGCACAGCTGGTAGTAGAGCCAAGGGCGTCATCTCTGGCGTGGGCAAAGGAATTGTGGGGGTTTTCACCAAGCCCATTGGAGGAGCAGCTGAACTGGTGTCCCAGACTGGATTTGGTGCGTTCATAGTTGATCTCACTGATGTTTGTTTTCAACAAATGAGGTCGGGTTTTTTTGTTTTGTTTTTTGTTTTTTGTCATGGTGTTTCACAGTCATACAAAATTTCACCATTGTGGATGGTCTCACATGAAAGCTAAGTGTCAGAGCTCAGTACAACATGCATCAAACGATTACCTGTAATTGCATACCAACAGACTTTTTCTGGCTGTTTTGGAACATTTAAAAAAAATAATAATAATTTAGACTGCCCCATGTTCTCCGTTATGTGAAGCAAGGAGACTTGCATTCAATTCAAGATAAGACTGACTGGTTTGTTTAACACTCAACACTTTCTTAACACCTCTTACACCCGAGTTGCGCCTGGCATGAATCAATCACCTTCATACTGCATCAAAAACGTTTTTTTTTTGTTTTTCTGCTTTCGTTCACAGCGGTTAAAATGCATGTACATGCATTAACTATTTTAATTGCAAACTGGCTCTGCTCCTATTTTTATGTTTTTTTTTCTTAAATGTTTTATGGCGGAGACAGCTCGGCCGCGTTATTTCCCATGAGAAAATGTTGTTTCGAATCAAAATTTAGGTCAACCAGCATCTGAGAATAAAACACGGTGGTTTTATTCTGGTTTGCCATAGTTGGGACCCAAATGGTAAACAAGGCACATGTAGGAATCAAAACACTGGTTTAAAGTAACAAACAAACCAAGTGGATAAGACTTCACTTAACGTGACGTGACAACACAATGTAGTAAATACAAGTAAACAGCCGAGACGACAAAACTTTTGGATAAGCTACAAGTAGCGGTGGGAGCTGATTGGAAGACATAGCAAGTTGACGCTGGAAATAAAAGAACCTAACAAGCAGAACAAGACATGAACCACAAGGAAACAAGACACTCCCGGTACATCCGACAAACCCAAATTCAATCCGGGCAACAAAATCACAGATCATTACAAGATTCTGTGCAAAATTCCAGTCTTTCAGCACGTGAAAGACTGGAATTTTTTAGAACAATTGCGAATGACATAATTATTTCACTTTTGCAGGTGGAGTCACTTAGGATGAAAGATGTTTCACACGTTTTCATTGGTAGCCCAGATGAAATGGTTGTCTTAACTGTGCCTTGCGATTAACTTGTGATGGGTACGTATTTTTCGCACTTTAAGGCGCTTTGGAGTATAAGGAGCACCATGGCCTATTTTAAAACTGTTTTCATACATACAAAGCACAACATTATAAGGCGCATAGAATAGAAGCAACAATAGTGGGTGGGCTTTCGTTACGCATCCACTAGATGGAGCTATCCTAAAGGAATACTATACAATAAAATACAGCTTTATTTATTTCGCGCTTTCACAACCACTGTAACAAAGCGAATAGTACATCCAAGAAATCAGAATATTGATCCCTATATAAAGCGCATCGGATTATAAAGGTGCACTGTCGGCTTTTGAGAAAATTGAATGCTTTTAGGTGCGCCTTACAGTGCGGAAAATACGGTACTCTGCCCGTTCCCCTAAATCAGCTTGCTTGTTGAGGCTCAAGGTACTTATCTAGAGATGTAAAAATCCGAGTGCATTTACTAGCATGAAGTTTCATTTTGTTGAATTACATTCTGTCAGAAAAAAGTCGATAATTTCCATATGCCAATTTGCCAAATATCAGTGATGGAACACATACACTTGATGTGTATCAAATTTTTTCATGCAGCCTTGTAGGACACAGTGTGGCACTGTTGCTATCGCTGCCATGTCCCTGACCCTTTCTGGCTGTTTGAGCCAGCGGAGTTAACCTACTAGGGGACAGAGTTGAGGAGTAAGTCAGCGGGTGGTGTATTTTGTCAACTATTGCCTCTGCATTCTGTTGTGGTGAGCCGCTCCTCATTGGAGCGATGACTCCCTGAGTCCGCCTGGCACTCTTTCACTGACCCTCTGAGCCAAACACAAACATTATTGTATTGTGTTGGCATTAGCTGGGGATCATCTACATGGATGTGTGTCATCATTCTGTCGCTTTATTGTGTTCTATAAAAGTGCACCGTCTCAGCTCTGCAGAGTACCACTGGAGTGACATCATTAATGGCGCGCTCTGTGTTCATTATGGCTCGATTTCACTTGATGACTTCACTGGCTCGCTGCTGCCACTCCGCTGACGGAGAGAGCGGGATGAAGGGAAACCGACCACACGCACATGAACTCATTTGGACGCGCACATGCCAAACATGTCTTGTTTCCTTTCCCCGTGTCAAGACCAAACTGTGATAGAGGATATGTAATATTGCCCTGGAAACGATGGAAACCTCAAACACAAGTATTTTGTCCGATAGAAAATCATGGAAAGAGAAGTCATCGGTTCCAGAGTCGAAGTGTCGGTGTCATAAAATCTTTATTAAGTGTACAGGCAGTTTTTAATAACATTTCAACATTCTAAACTGTCATCCACATATAAAATAAATCGGCCACTGGTAATAACAAAAACACATACATTTCATACTCTCAACAGTGATGACCGTGCTCAGGATGGCTGGTTGTAATTTTGGGGTTGACATTTGCATTTACTACCATTAGCATATGGGCGTCTACTGCTTCTTTACATTGTCCAGTAGTTTCCATTTGATCGCCTTCTTTTATGGCAGCAAGGGAAAAAAAACAAAAGAAAAAGCACAATACACTTGTGGAGTGAATCCTTAAGATCAGGGATCGCCGACGTGGGGCCTGCAGCCACTAGGCAGCCCCCGCGGACCACTGCAGGCTAGTTTTAAAAGGAGCTCACCAGTAATGGGACATTGTGATTTCCTCGGATCGGTGTAGAAGTGATCATTTGAAAACGTGAGCAGTGAGAGCGATTTCAAGGAATAAAGCGTGGCAAATTAAAATTCAAGAGTATATCAAGGCGTTTGCGTAAATCAGTAACTCCCGGTTTGAAAAAAGTCAATGACGCCTTCTTTTGTTGCTCACTCGGCTTTAAGTCTGGCAGGATTTCCTGCGGTCCGCTGTGCCATGCACAGCAGCAGTTCCAACTCTGTTTGTTCAATGCGTATGTAGATTTACCTCCGTGTTTTCGCAGTTGTGTTGCATGTCTAATTAACCTCAATGATATGTAACATGCTTGGTTGGCGTCTCCTAACAGGGATCCTCCACGGAGCAGGACTGTGGCAGCTTCCGAAGCAACTTTACCTGCCAGCAGAGGAGAAATCCGCCGAAGCCCCCAACAGCCACCTTAAATATGTTTGGTATGATTCCCCGCAAAATGAAATAACATCCCTTGTTCCTGCAGACAACCTCCTCTACTGTCTTGAAGCTGTGCGTTTCGAGTGGGACATGTGGGCCTTTGCTTTTGTTGGGTCCTTTCCAGAATCTGGTGTTCCTTTTCTCCCACTTACCTCTCATCATTTTCGCTGTCTTGAAGGGTTCATTAACAGCACCCCACTCCCCGAAAAGTCTGTTTGACCTTGATTCCACACATGGTAGCCAGCCTGCCCTCCCTTGTTCTCATCAAGCCATGTTAAAAGGTTTTTGTAAGCACTCTGCCAAAGCCTCCGGCTCAAAGTTGTGAGCTGTGAGTGGATCCAGAGAGATGCCTTCACGTGGAGGAGGGACCGGTCACTCCTTGCGCCAGATGCTTTGGCGCTTGATCAGTGAGGTTGCAAGTTGTACAGAGCAGGCGTGGTCACCTTCAGCTTCTGCATCATTGAAATCGGATCAGAGATGTAGCGCTGCATCACATTTGGGCCTTTGTTGCAGAATTTCCTCTCTGTGGAATGCTTGCGATATTAACGTTTATTAGAGGCCCATGTCTCCAGAGGCAAGAGTGGATTGCATTTTGTAATGAGCCTTCCCCCCATGTCGTTTGCTTTCCATAGTTATGAAACATGTACTTTTAATAGCAGCCGGCGATGGAAAATGGCTAATTTTAAATTCAATATTCCTTTGGAACATTCTACCTTAGATGTGGACACCAGAGCGGTTAGTGCTCTGTAATGTTAGTAAGAGGGGTGGGGTGGTGGGGATAAAAATACATGAATGCTGAGAGGATTCTCCCTCGTGGTGTGATTGTTTTTGCATTTGCACAGAAACTGGTTTCCATCAGGTGTCCATCAATTATTTTTACTACTGCAGGTAGCCCAGACTCTGGAAGGGTCAGATAGTTTGAGCCCAGTTACACAGAACAGAAACAAACCGTCCCTTCTGCTGCGTCTCACATCTGCTGCGCAATTGGAGCACCTGCCTTCCAAAGTAAACACAGCGTCCGAGAAACACCGCTAAACACTCGCCTTCCTTCACACGTACTTTCCGCTTGAGCGCGTGTGAAATAGGAGCCACACGTTCTGTGGACATGTAAATTACAGGATGTGTCCGGACACATGTTGTCACTTGTTTGGGTATGTTCCGTGTACTTGGGGCACTTTGTGTGGTCTATATGATGCTTATGTAATTTGATCATTGGAAACATGTTTTTGATTGGCTTTGTTCCATCTTGAACAAGTGTTACATGAGAGACTCGTACTAGCTTTGTCTCCTCTCTTGTCACAGGAAAATGCTGCAGTCTTTAGGACGACCAGAGCTGCACATGGCCTTAGAAGTGACCATCGTCAGCGGGTCGGGCCAGGAGCATGCTGGATGCCTGTTGCTTACCTCGGAGGTCCTCTTTGTGGTCAGCCTCAGTGAGGACACGCAGCAGCAGGCCTTCCCCATCACGGAGGTGAAGGAATGCCTCACTGAAAGAACAGTTTCCGTGTGCGTTGCTGTGCACGCTAAATGTTGCCGCTGTGTCTGTCCTCTGCAGGTCGAGTGTCAGCAGGAGGCGGGACAGCATGGGCAGCTAACGCTCACATTGCAGCAGCAGACAGTAGCCCGTGACACAGAGGTGAGACGGACAAAGCGTCTTTGCCCTCATTGCATTCATTTGATGAAGGTGAGCCGGAGATTGGCACGCAGATCGATGCAAGGGGCCGCAAGACTGCAGCTGCGGCAGTTTGTCGTGGTGAAGGACGACCCTCACTTATGCTAATGAGCCCGAGGCAGTGACAGAGAGGCAGATACAAGCGGTCGAAATTAGTCACCTCGACAGGATGTGTGATATCTCTCTCATCAAAGAGGGGCTCAGAGTATCAAGACTACAAGGATGAGATGGCTCAGGCATCTGGTTAGGATGCCGCCTCCATGGTGAGGTGCTCTGGATACCTCATGTGGGGAGAAGGACCCAGGATACAAAGGAGTGACTCCCTGTGTTTGAAATCATGAACTCATGTCCTACTTCGTAATGAATATATAGGGTAATACAGTACAATGATTTTTATATACCGGTAGTGTAATACAGTGCCATGAAAATTAGGTTTTTCCTAAAATTCAGATTTTTTTTTTTTTTTTTGCATAGTTTCCCTTCTTTGTTTCAAAAATAAATAAGACAACTGGGTTGAGTGTTAAATGTAGTTTTTAAATTAGCGTGCCAAAATGGCAAATTGGCTACAGGTAGTCTTCGACCATGGGATCGATATTTATCCAACATTTTGACGGTTTCGATCAGTAGGACTCTCTATTCATACGTCAAATAATCAATCAAAACAAAAAAAAAACCTTTCCAATCTGCAGATCTGTGACATCACAGGAAAACTGTCTTTATAGGGCACAACAAAGTGGATAGGGAGTGATTCCGAATCAGGAGGACTCTCTATTCAAACATCAAATAATGCACCAAAACAATAAAACCTTTCCAATCTGCAGATGTGTGACATCACAGGAAAACTGTCTATATAGGGCACAACAAAGTGGATAGGGAGTGATTCCGAACACAGCCAACGTCTCTCAGCTGGCGTGTCTCAAGAAATGTGAAACTTGAGTTTAATTTTGCTGCGGAACCAGCATTCACTTATATTGTCTTAGAGTACTGTATGTAGAGGTGCTAAAAAGGCCGAAGATCAGGCTGGCGTGTCTCAAGAAATGCGAAACTTGAGTTTAATTTTGCTGCTGAGTAGCGGAAGCAGCATTCACTTATATTGTCTTGGAGTACTGTATGTAGAGGTGCTAAAAAGGCCGAAGATCATGTTTTACACTCATGATGTGTTGTCCTCCCCCAGGGCGAAGGTGTGCGGGAGCGTCTATCGGAGCAACAGTATCAGCGCCTGGTGGAGTACGTGAAGCGTACCTCCCATTATTTCCCTCCCTCTGCTTCATCACTGCAGCTGCCGCCTCCAGTGACGCTCGCTGAGCCGCCAGCCTCTCTCACCAAGTCATACCGCTACCTGGTTGATCCCGCTTTTGCCAAGGTATTTGTAAGCAAGTTCACCATGGTAAGGGAAAAAGCCTTACGAATCGGATTCCACCATCTGTCTTGCTGAAATGGATCAGCTGCACTTTTTAAGATAACCAATTAACGCCACATATACCCAAAAGGAACAGTTTGTATTACTTGAGGGGATCAACCAAGTGTGAAAACATCAAGCATTGCCTTCATGATTTTCTACTAATATAAACATGAGAACTGTAAAGCAGATACCAGAACTCTTTTTTTTTTTTAATTCATTGTCCATAAATAGAGGAAAAGGAATTCTTGTCAGCTATAATGTTGAATTAAGCCACAAACACCAGCTGCCAACCATATATGATGTAACATGTTTCACAGTACCACTGTACTTTGTCACTGTACATAATGCCAAATCCTGCTGTTTTCGCCTTTTATAGTGTTATTGTATTTCTGGGTTTCAGTATATTGTATAAGGTTTCAGTACTATGCCTTTCAAATTATATTGAGAGAATATGTTAATAATAAAAAAATAACTACTGAGGTGGTGTGTACGTGTAAAGCTGTGTTGGTAAACATATACTCTGTGTCTGTGTGTGTATATCTCAGTGGCGGATGCTGGTCTGTCAAGGAGGGGAAGCTCAATTTTGGCCTACATCATAAAATGTGTCCGTTTATTTATACGTGAATTCTACTCTCCGATCCTTTTCAAGAAAATGACATGTGACCCTGTCAAACCAACGCGTCTTTTCCAGGGACTTAACTAGTGTCCTACAACGACAGCAACTACAATAAAACCCACCAGAAATAAAAGATTAATTCGTCGCGAGTCGTTTTGGACATAGAGAGTGTCGCTAAGATGATTAGAAGAAGTCTCCAGTTCAACTCGGAACAGAATGAGAATTGAAAAATGCTCCCACGGATGCCTACGCTAAAAGATCAGTGATTGGCTCATTTCGCTGTCAATCAAAAAGAGATTTAGCCTCAGACAGATCATCCAATCATGATGCAGAAAAGCTGAGCATCCGGGCCAGCCAATACACGCCCACTGTCTATAGACTCCCAGAGACGCTGAGCGTCTGGTGGGCGGGACAAAACCAATGACTCGTCTCGTTTCAATGCATTGGGACAAGCTACACTGAACTTGTCACGATTTCGGGCGATCCGAATGAGGGTTTGGATCCCAATAATCGCAGACGTCAACAAGATCTCTGTGACAAACAAATAGTTTAATGTATATAATAATAATGGTTAACAAAAGGTGCTGGACCTAAAACAGGGACCAGGTAGAACACGAAGTAACTAACAAAAAGCGCTTGCATCCAAAAGGCAAGGGAAGAAAACTAGAACAGAGTATGCAAAAGAAAAACAACGTATATAAAAACACGCGAGAAAAATCCAATATATAAAATAAAAGTCTGCCGAGCAGAGTAAATAGTACCGAGAAGCTGATAGCGAAAAACACGACGAGAACGATAGCAGAAAAAGGTCAACGAGTGTGGAAGTAGCAATGCAATACACAATACTCCGACAACCCTTTGACAGCCGAAGGGTCCGATATACAACGTCCCTTAATTACAAGATTGGCAGCAGGTGTGCAACCAGAAAATACGCTCGGACTGCCACCTGCTGGCCAGGCCGAACAACAGAACCCTGACAGAACTCTCTCGATGCCCAGCGCGTCGACCTCACAGTGCAGAGGTACCGAGTTCAATTCCAGCTCCAGCCTCCCTGTGTGGAGTTTTCTCCGGGTACTCCGGTTTCCTCCCACATTCCAAAAACATGCATGACAGGTTAATGGAACACTCTAAATTGTCCCGAGGTGTGGGTGTGAGTGCGGATGGTTTTTCGTCTCTGTGTGCCCTGCGATTGGCTGGCAACCGTTTCAGGGTGTCCCCCGCCTACTGACCGAAGACAGCTGGGATAGGCTCCAGAACTCCCCGCGACCCTTGTGAGGATAAGCGGATCGGAAAGTGGATGGTGGGTGGAAGTGGATGGACATATATATTTCAATGGTTCTTAACCTGGGTTCGATCGAACCCGAGGGGTTCGGTGAATCGGTCTCAGGGGTTTGACAGAGCCTCTGCCATGGAGGATAAGGCACACCCGACGTAATTAGTTATAACACGCTTGGCCATCACTGGCTGGTCCATTTTGTGCACAATTAAAAAATTGTATAGTTTTGTCTTGAAATCTTATTTAGTTTTTTTTACTGTTTTTAATAAATGCGTTTTTTTTATGTCTTGAATTTGTTAAAAAAAAAAAAAAAATTATTTTTCACTTGTGAGGGGTTCGGTGAATGTGCATATGAACTGGTTGGGTTCGGTACCTCAAACAAGGTTAAGAACATCTGATCTGTAGTATGCGTTTTTAGCCCAAAAAAAATGACCCATGTATAGTAAGGCGTTTTATTTGCCGAAAAAAACGACCATGTATATTAAGGTCTTTTTCGCCGTCAAAAACACGACCATGTATAGGAAGGCATTTTTAGCCCCAAAAAACAACCATGCATAGATAGTAAGGCGTTTTTAGCCGAAAAAAAACAACCATGTATATCGTAAGGCGTTTTAGCCCAACAAAACGACCATGTATATACAGGCTTTTTTTTTAGCTGAAAAAAAAACCGACCATGTATCGTAAGACGTTTTTAACCGAAAAATTGACCATGTATAGAAAGGCATTTTTAACTGACACCCCCCCCCCACCCCCATGTATAGTCAGGCGTTATTTGCTGAAAAAATGACCATGTAGAGCAATGTGTATTTTGCCGGAAAAAAACCTGATCATCTGTAGTATGCGTTTTTAGCCCAAAAAAACGACCATGTATAGTAAGATGTTTTAGCTTAAAAAAAAATTAAAAAACACCATGTATAGTAAGGTGTTTTTTAGCTGACAAAAACGACCATGAATAGTAAGGCATTTTTAGCCAAAAATACGACCATGTACAGTCAGGCGTTTTTTTGCCAAATCCAGGTTTTGGCCTTCCTCTGCGAAGCTTGCATGGAAAGCTTTTTTGAGCGACCATGTACATGAAGACCTTTTTGGGTTGTTACTTACAAGCTCAACAAAACAGCGCCACTGTGGAACACTGGTTACTGTGATGGCTTTCCAGCACAGACGTGCAGTGTTCAAATCCAGTTCTTGGCCGTCATCTGCAGAGTTTGCATATCAAGCTTTTTTTGAACCAGCAGGTATGTAAAAAGCCCTTTTTGGGTTACTGTATTAATTATGAGGCTGGTCCACTGTTTAGGGCGTCAGCTTATCTGTGGGAAAATGCAGGGTTCAAAGCCAGGTCTTGGCAATCATCTGCAGACTTTGCCTATCAGGTTTTTTTTGAAAAACCAGTTATGTAAAGGCCTTTTTGGGTTGTTACCTATGAGCTTGGTATAGCAGTGCCACCGTGGTCCACTCGTTAGGGTGTCAGCTTAACAGTGGGAAGATGCAGGGTTTGAATCCAGGTCAAGGCCTTCGTCTGCAGAGTTTACATGTAGCATAAGGCATTTCTCTCTTTTTGGGGCTAAAAATGCCTTACTCTAAATGATCGTGTTTTTTTGCTAAAAACGCCCGACTGTACATGGTTGTTTTTTTTTTTTGGGCAAAAAAATGCCTTACTCTACATGGTTGTTTTTTGGGGCTAAAAACGCGTTACTATACATGGTCGTTTTTTTGGTTAAAAACGCCTTACTATACATGGTCGTTTTTTCGGTGAAGAACGCCTTACGACACATGGTCGTTTTTTGGGTGAAAAACGCCTTACAAAACATGGTCGTTTTTTTCGGGTGAAAACGCCTTACTATATATATATATATGGTCGTTTTTTTTGGTTAAAAACGCCTTACTATACATGGTAGTTTTTTCGGTGAAAAATGCCTTCCTATACATGGTCGTTTTTTGGGTGAAAAACGCCTGACTATATACATGGTCGTTTTTACAGTGAAAAATGCCTTACTATACATGGTCGTTTTTTTCGGTGAAAAACGCCTTACTATATACATGGTCGTATTTTTTTACGGTTAAAAATGCCTTTCTATACATGGTCGTTTTTTCAGTGAAAAACGCATTATACATGGTCGTTTTTGTTCGGTTAAAAATGCCATACTATACATGGTCGTTTTTTTGTTGAAAAACGCCTTAATATACATGGTCGTTTTTTTCAGTGAAAAACGCTTTACTATACATGGTGGTTTTTTTGGTGAAAAACGCCTTACTATACATGGTCGTTTTTTTGGTGAAAAACGCCTTACTATACATTATCGTTTTTTTTCAGTGATAAACGCCTTACTATACATGGTCGTTTTTTTGGTGAAAAACGCCTTACTATACATTATCGTTTTTTTCGGTGATAAACGCCTTCCTGTACGTGGTCGTTTTTTTTTTTTTTTTTAAACGCTTTACTATAGATGGTCGTTTTTTTCAGTGAAAAACGGCTTACTATACATTATCGTTTTTTTTCAGTGATAAACGCCTTACTATACATGGTCGTTTTTTGGGTGAAAAACAGCTTACTATACATGGTCATTTTTTCGGTTAAAAACGCCTTAGTATACATGGTCGTTTTTTTTTTGTTTTTTTTTTGGTGAAAAACGCCTTATAATAACTGGTCGTTTTTTTCAGCTAAAAACGCCTTTGTGTACATGGTCGTTTTTTCGGAAAAAAAAACGCCTGACTATACAGGGTCGCTTGTTTCAGCTCAAAACACCTTCCGATACATTGTCATTGTTTTTAGCTAAAAACGCCTTACTATACATGGTTGTTTTTTTCGGTTCAAAATGCCTTACTATACATGGTCGTTTTTTCAGTGAAAAACGCCTTATACATGGTCGTTTTTGTTCGGTTAAAAATGCCATATTATACATGGTCGTTTTTTTGTTGAAAAACGCCTTAATATACATGGTCGTTTTTATCGTTTTTTTTTACGGTTAAAAATGCCTTTCAAAACATGGTCGTTTTTTTGGGTGAAAAACGCTTTACTATACATGGTGGTTTTTTTGGTGAAGAACGCCATACTACACATGGTCGTTTTTTTGGGTGAAAAACGCTTTACTATACATGGTCGTTTTTATGGTGAAAAACGCCTTACTATACATGGTCATTTTTTCGGTGATAAACGGCTTCCTATACGTGGTCGTTTTTTTTTTTTTTTGGTGAAAAACGGCTTATAATAACTGGTCGTTTTTTTCAGCTAAAAACGCCTTTGTTTACATGGTCGTTTTTTTTGGAAAAAAAAACGCCTGACTTTACAGGGTCGCTTTTTTCAGCTAAAAACACCTTCCGATACATTGTCATTGTTTTTAGCTAAAAACGCCTGACTATACATGGTTGTTTTTTTCGGTGAAAAATGCCTTACTATACATGGTCGTTTTTTGGGTGAAAAACGCCTTACTATATACATGGCTGTTTTTTTCGGTTCAAAATGCCTTCCTATACATGGTCGTTTTTTCAGTGAAAAACGCCTGATACATGGTCGTTTTTTTCGGTTAAAAACGGCTTACTGTACATGGTCGTTTTTTTGGTGAAGAACGCCTTACTACACATGGTCGTTTTTTTGGATGAAAAACGCCTTACTATACATGGTCATTTTTTTCTCGGTTAAAAACGCCTTACTATAGATGGTCGTTTTTTTCAGTGAAAAACGCCTTACTACACATAGTCGTTTTTTTTGGTGATAAACGCCTTACTATATACATGGTCGTTTTTTTTCGATTCAAAATGCCTTAATATCCATGGTCGTTTTTTACGGTTAAAAACGCCTTACTATACATGGTCATTATTTTGGGTAAAAAATGCCTTACTATACATGGTCGTTTTTTTCGGTGAAAAACGCCTTACTATACATGGTTGTTTTTTTCTCGGTTAAAAACGCTTTACTATAGATGGTCGTTTTTTTCAGTGAAAAACGGCTTACTACACATGGTCGTTTTTTTCGGTGAAAAACGCCTTACTATATACATGGTCGTTTTTTTTTACGGTTAAAAATGCCTTTCTATACATGGTCGTTTTTTTCGGTGAAAAACGCCTTACTATACATGGTCGTTTTTTTCTCGGTTAAAA